ATATCAAAATTTTTACGAGTTTTCTTATATTGTGATCGAAAAATTCTCGTTCGATAATTCTTTATTTTAATCGTAATTTTATTAAACGATAAAAAAATTGGTAACTGTTAGAGATGAAATCCCTTGGTAACCTCAAAATAAAAATTCACACCTCTAACTTCTAAGTTTCTTTCATAATTTAAATAGATCTACTATTGTTTCATGAAAGCTCGTCAAAATTATAGTTTTGTAATGGACAACGTGAATCACGCGTCATCATAAATCGAAAGGGTATGCCAATTCCTCTGTATTGCATAAATAAAATGATGAAACTGGATATCTTATGGTACCTTTATAAAGTTGTAACTACATATTCATGTAATAGAAAAAAAAAGATCAAGGTTAGATCTATCGATGTATCTCTATCTTTATGACGCTGGATATTCGACGAGAGCAGAGTTCTCGCGAACTCTTGTAAAATCCGATCGTGCGATCTCGACGCGAGCCAGAGAAGAAAAAACGAAACGCGACGAAAGAATGGTTCTATGTGAACGCTCCTCGCCGCGTTCTTGTTCTTGTTGTTTTCAGTTCGAGCGATCGTCGACGGTCGATAATCGAAGTGTAAAACATGACAGATAACCTCAACAAACTTGAACAAAAATGATAGTTATGCTTATTATTCAGGTTCAATCGCCCCCATTCACTATAATGATCATGAAATCTATTTTTCGAGAGGTAGATTCACCGAAGAATTCTGTAAATATTGACTCTTTTCAGTCACTAATGAATAATTCTACTTAAAAGCGAATAAAAGGTGTATTCTTACGGTCCCTAGTAAAATGGTCAAGATTTCAAGATCATTGATAGTTTACCTTTGAATAAAAAAAATATAGACAATGTGAAATTAACGTAGACTATATAGTGTTGAAGAATTTTTAAAGGACTTCTCAAGAAGGAAAACTGTTTTGGGGAGAAAAAATGGTATAACGTTACCATTTATGGTTGAAGGATGTTCGAATGGCGACCCAGGGACGATTGAACCAAAAGTTGAGGTTAAGGTGTACAGGAGAAATATAAGAAACGAGATACACCGTAGAATTTAAGCGTTCACAGTGAAGACTAACCAAAACTTCGAATCTGCCATGGTCTTACATTCGCTGGTCTTCCGAATTTTGTTTCGCTAAGCGTCGAACGTATCGAAATTGATCGATATATGGAGGGAATCGATCGGTAAGGAATCGTCGTCAACGACCGCTCAATAAAACCACCGAGACGAAAATGCAAAAACAAAAAAGAAATGAAATAAGGTAACAAAGAAAAAAAATGATGAAAAATCGTATCGTCGAGAGATCAAATTGTAGCATCGAACGAAGCCTGGCTAGAATACTCAAAAGAAAGCTGCTTTCGAACTTATAATAAAAAAAGATTAAAACTTGATCGATCTACATTCTCTTCTATATACACATGTCTGAATGGATCCTTGAATTAATTACAATGTTTTCCTTCGTTCTTTCTTTTTATTGTCCTCTTTTTTTCAGTATCAACTTACAATCATTACTTCATAATATACTTACAAAAAAAAAAAAAAAAGAAAACGAACAAAAATAGCGAAGGTTTCTTGAAAAGTACAAAAATACATAGAATAAAAAGGTCATGACGCAAAGCGTGATCTCAAGAGGCTATAGACTACAGTTAAAGATCAGTCTGAACTTTGCCGAACATCGATGTGAGCAGCTTTTCTCGAAGAACTCTGCTTTACATTTGTACGAAATAAATTTAAAACATGAGTGAATATGCGACGAATATCATAAGGAGTTACATTCGCTCTTGGAACGATTACTATTCATGCTCATGCTTTTCCACTGGTTTCTCCATCACATGAATATAGAAGCCAGGGTGCTTCACTTTTTCCAGAGCCTTGAAGTCACCGTAAATCGTATGCTTGGCCCTATACTGGAACGCTTCGTCTAACATGCCTGTAAAAACGTTCAATCTGTGAGGATAGTATGATAGTCTGAATTCACTGACGTGGTGCTCTTCATGATCTTTTTCTACTTCCTCATCACCAAGCGTGATCATGTAGTCCAATGTAACAATTGCTGGTTTTCCAGAGACAAATAGGACCGAAGCTTTGATGTTTGTCATATGTTGGCTCTTAAACAATAATCTTACATTTAATATAATTTTTAAGAAACCAACAATTCGTCCTCATGTCTTCGAGTAATATTTGCACAAGTGTGTTCCTTTAAAGTAAATACTCACGTTATAATATATGCACTTTGGAGGAATATTACCGGTATCGATTATATAATCATAGTTCCTATGGTCAATCAGCAGCAAACCACCAGGTTTCACACAGCTTTCAAAGTTTAGTAAAGCTTGCCTAGATTGAGAAAGGAAATTGAAAGTACATTTTTGCAGAATTAACATCAAATATGACATACATGTACATTCTACTTTACCTCTGTTCTCTCTGGTCTCCAAATGTATCCGGCATATGAGCAAAGCTATTTCCCAAGCAAATCACAGCATCGAATCCACCTCCAATCAAATGACAAATATCTTTTGGTAAGGTCAGCCAATTAGCCTCTTCGATCACTGTAAAAAATAAAAATCAACATCTTCGTGCGAGGAAACATGACTTTGAACTCGAGAAGAATATTTGCAAAGTATCAAGTTGCACGTTCCAATAAAAAAAGGGAAAATTATTAGGCCAAAAGAAAAATATCTGAATAATCATCAGTGGGAAAATGAAGACGGAAAACAGCGGAGTGTGCAAAACGGTTGACCCTCGATAAAATAGCGATCCGTTTTACCATGCGTTTTCCCTCTATTGCGATAAGAGATAACTGTTTACAAAATGATTTATTAAGAAAAAAAAAATACAGCAAACACGAGCGTTTATCAGGTCAATGGTTTCACAATGATTTTACGACACCGTTGCATTTCTTTCGCTGTGAAAGACACTAAGATTGTTACGTTATACGAGAATTGTACCACCTCTTTGATCTACTCCGCTATTTCATAAAAACAATTGCGTCTCCGGTCAAAATCATAAACTTCACTGGTGGTATCACTTTATATTTGGCAAATGAATCTTTCACGACACTCACCACTGACGAAATTCACTACCCATAGAAAATAAAATTTGGTAATTTACCATTAATATACGCGATTATAAGTAAACTCGCGGATGCATGTATACAGATTTCAATTTCGAGCTGACCAGATAATTTCTTTCTTGAAAAACACAATACTGCGTAATTTTGCAATTAAACAATATGTACCCCAGTTATCGAAAATTTGTTCCTTCCGTCGCTCCCATCTGGTTTTCAGAGCGTACTTTAACATTTTATCAGACGCGTCCACGCTGACAACTTCAAAACCCTCTTCCAAAAGCATCACAGAATCCACTCCTGTTCCACATGCCACATCTAAAATTTTCTTACATCCTTTTTCTCTCAATAAACCGACTAAAAAGTCCCGGTAATTTTGTGTTCGTTGTTTCTTGTCGCCGATAAACACTTCCCATACTTTAGCGGCCCTTCCGTCGGCATACTGATCTCGAATACCTTCTGCAGCTGTACCGGGAGACCTCGTACGAAATACCGAATCCATCATGTCTCAATTTCTTTCATGAAACTAATCTGAAATTAAATTTTTCCACGAAATCAGTTGATTGTTTATTCATATCCGTTCTCATGTGTCAAAGAACACTGACGGATGCGCGGAGTTAATCGTTCTCGGGTACCGAAGATATAAGGCAGTTGTTTATTAATTCATGTTTGGTCCCTGAGGAAAAAAAGTATAATTAAGATAATCAAGATGGATTTATTTTCTGCATTATTATTTAAGAGGTATTTGGTTGTACAAAAATAATTAGAGGATACAAAGTATACAGATAATTGAATATTTTCTGAAATATAATTGATGTACATAGAAAAATGATATAGAAGATAGTTGAAATACTTGTCGGATTATAGATATTTTTTATTAGATCATTATTTAGTTATTTGAAACGAAAAAGATATTTACGTTGGTTATAATTTGAGCCGCTGCTTTATGATGAAAATCGATATAAGGTTTTGTTACACTACGATCGTTTGAATTCTTAGCTAGCTGATTTCATGAAGATTCAAGTTATTCGTTTAAAAAATTATACATACTTTCCTCTGTAATAATAAAATTGTGCCAATATCAACGTGTACAGAATTAATTAAACGAATGTTTGTCCTCTTATCTGGGATTTAAATGATCCGCCGGAATTTGTGATTAGATTGTAGTAGATCTATTACGAAATTCTGAGACATTATCAGAAAAAACTAATGGGTCACCGTAACATGACATATGATTCTGATTATCGTATAAATGTCTTGCAAAATTTTATACCAAGTAAAACATTTTTACAAGCTATTTCTTTTAAGATATAAATAATAATTAAAAGCATTGCAAATCACTGAACACTTTTTAAAATAAAATATATCCTACCTCTTTAGACAATAGGACTGTAACTTGTTGCTTGCTTCCCTGGTGTTGGACTCACAAGTAACAAAATTAACACCAAAAAATTGCAATCACCAAAAAGAATTCTCAAATATAAAAAAATATGATAATTTCTGTAAAAGTCACTATGCAATAATTCTAGTTGCAACTGCAAAATGATAAAGTAATAATAATGTAAGATAGAAGAGATGTTGTCATATGCTATGAGAAAATGACACTGAATGAGAGATCGCCAGGGACCTCCTTCATATAAGATATGGTGTTCGATTGATTGCATGATGTAATTTCCTTGCCGCTCGAAATCCTGCATGAAATCGCTGATAAACAATCGTGACACAGCATAAGTCTACCAAAGTTTTATAGAAAAAAAAAAAAAATCGTAGAATTTTATACAATACATTGCCACTTTTCCCCCTGCTGATCGCGTGACGTCATTACCGCTTCATCAAAATTTCTTCATATACTTTTAATGAAAACCAAATTATGTTCCCAGAGAAAATACGACGTTGCTTCATAACGATGTTTCCATATATTTTCTGAGTAATATTTAGCATCACACTTTCTGGTAGAAAAAATAAATTTTTTTTTCACAGATTAGGATAATCGTTTGAACAAAATATAACAGACTTGTGGTGTAAAATTCTATAATTATTTTGGTCAGAAAAAATTACACAATTCGCATACTTATTTCTATGTTAAACATAGCATGCTAAACGTTTCCCATAAATCTCGTCACTACTGAATATTGATAATGTCATTTTTCAATAGGAGTATTTTGGAGATTTTTTTAAAACATACTTTAAAATGTAATATATTATATCCACGAGTTCCCGAGAATAACAGATTCTTTCGCTAAATGCTAATTGATTGTGCAGTGCTTTGCCATAAATTTTTTTCGGTGCATGATAGCAAATGTACAGTGAAATTCAGCATGTAAAGCAAATCTATACAAATAAAAGGATTCATTGAATCAATTATTCTCAGTGAAGAGTAAAGGATTTAAGTACTACATACTAAAATTTGACTGTGTAAAAAAAAAATCACTATCTATTCAATTTCATTGGTACTGTTACTCATTCTGAAAACAGTGAATAATTTAATTTCAATAAAAAATTAGGCTCAAATACAAGAAAAAACCTAATGACCAAACACTCGTAGACAGAGCTGTGTGATACAACATTCTAGACATATAATATATACTTATCAATAGACTAATTGGCAGAAACACTGTAAAATGGCAGTTTCATGTTTCTCACAGGTTATCTTCCCTATCATTACTTTTTAAAATTGTGTAATCGAACGTGTTACATTCTATCTAAATTTGAATACAAGATATTGCATTAGCATATTTTTTTCTAGTTATAGAAAATGTGATGTAACGAATATTGCTTTACTGCCTGCAACATTGAAGTATACATGAATATTTTGAAACATTCTGCTAAATTGATTAACTTTATTTCGTAGCAATGTACATGTTCAATTGATTAAGTGGAAACTCATTGATCATGTATTAAATATAAAGAATGCAGAATAATCTTTGGAAGTAAAATGAAAATTCTTTTGTCCTGCAAGCAATTTGTCAATAATGTTAGAATAATTTGGGGCTGTGCACAAAAATTCATTTGTTAACTATGCAATAGTTCATTTTAAACACTAACAAGGTTTAATTTATTTTTCTTATTTGAGACTATTTAAAAATTAGTTGAACGTTGAACTATATCACTTTGTCATTTGCAGTAATTCTTTTTTCTTTTGCTCTTGCTCCATCTCAACCCTGTATCCTTACACAACATCACACTCTCATATATTCTTTAAGTCCTCTGGCAAGTCATTTTTAGGATGTTTGTTTTCAAAGTGTTGCTTGTACGTCTTTGGATCTGGCATTTGTGCCTATAAGCAAATGAAATTTTTTAATTATAAAAACTTTAATTATAAAAATATTATGACACTGACTATAATGATAGAAATAACACACCAACCTTACAAACTACGCACACATGTACTAAAGCTTTCTGTGCTGCTTTTTTCTGTTCATTGGCACTGTGTCCCTGTTGCTTTTTCACTTTTGCAGCTTTCTCAGCTGCTTTAGCTTGTGACTGAATTTTCTGTTGACCACGAGCCATTCTGAAATAATATTCTCATTTGTACCTATTCTAAAAAATTATGTAAAAATTTACATTAAAGTAATTACTCTCTGAAACATTTAATAAGTCCTGGAAAGCATTCAATTTCATAAAATTAATGAGTTTCCTCCGTGAATAAATTTTTAAAGTATCTTTTATTTAAATCAACGCACAAACTACTGATGTAACACAAATAAAGTTCGTACAAATTTTTGGCCATAATGTTGCTCTCAGAAAAACGTTGACACTGTGCATCTTCACTCGATTGTACAATTCTCGATCCTTTCTCTTTAATAGACTATTATTACGTACTTTCTCTTCTCCCCGAGATTACTGCGACATATACCCAACCTCTAAAATAGGTGATCGAGGTGGCAAAGATTGCCCGATATTATCCCTCTATTTCATATTATAAAATGCATTTCTGTCAAAAAATTGACGGTAATGAATGAAACGGAATTATGCTCATGATGCTCGAATTCGAGGAAAACGAACTTCTAGAAGAAACAATTTGCGAAAAATGGATCGCTCACCTGTCCGAAGATGAATGTATTTAAAAGCAAGATTTCCTTGCCAACTCGATGATCCGGGGCACGATTTTCCGTCGCAAAAATGGAACAATTGTGTTTCCGTAGTTTGTTGTACGATCGGGAACGATCAGAGAAAAAATACGCGTCGAAAACGGAACGATTAAAACCAGTGCTTGCAGCACATCTGTTGAGACGAGCGATCTTTGAGCATCCGCACGTGAAGTACTGCCTTTCAAACGAGAATCGCGTATAAATGAAAAAAGAAAAAGTATTCGAATGAATATTTAAAAAGCTCGTACGGTCACAACCAATTAATCGTACAATTTTCTTTGTTTAGTTTCCCTCTTTACGTTCGCTTTGGGAACACCTTGACGTTAAAATTATTTTTAATCGATATTTAAATATTAAGGCTCGTAAGTTCAGTGACCGCATTCTTGATATATGAAGAACATGTGTGCGCATATCGCAATACTTTCTTCCAATGAGGATACTTACTTTCTTATGGATCCTACATTCTATTGGTTTGAATTTTCGACACCTTTTCTGAGAAACATTAAGATCTTCGAACTGTTGTTCAACTACAGTGTTGTATTCCTTTGATTTTAAAGTTAATTTCTTAGGTATTTTTAGTAATAATGATTAACGTTTTGAATATTGAAATATCTTAAACATCGATTAGCGCGAGCCGATCGTACCACCCGTTAAGCGTTTCAGCGGTCTTTCTTTTTGGTTTGAAATTCTAACATCGATTTTATTGTTATTATTGTAAGAAACATTAAGTATTTTTAATGTTTTATTTTCACTTATAAACTAGAGATACAACGATTCACGATACAGAGACACCACGTGTGAATTTGTATCCAATTATTTTTATCTACAAAGTAAACCTAATATGTGATCAATTTGCGCAATAGATTATGAAGAAAACTACATCTTGGTTTACCTACTCTGATGCATACTGCGTATTTGTTTTAAGTTTTGTATCAAAAGAAAGCTACACATGCTTCGAATGATTAATTTTTGTGAAACTTGTTCGAGTGACGTATAGAACGCTATTATATTGTCTATTTCACTATATGTATACTAAAATTCGGAGAATACGTATAACGGTAAGTTAGTTTGTATTCGAGTGTGTCGCGTAGGACACTTTATAAAATGGTTTTCATTTCTAAATACTCTTTGCAGCATACCATATTACCCATATTATTCGTTACGGGGTTATAACTGTTTTTTTAAGCATGTTAATGTTGCTATTGTAGAATCTATCGTGTGATGCTATTAATTCTGGTTAGATCTTATAGTCATCGTGTTACATCAGCAACGATGTTAAGTAAAATTACAAAAAATGTCTGGATTATCATAGTATAGTTCTATTTTAATCGCCTTGTACAGAAACTAAATATACAATATGAATGTACTTATGTACAAGATAGATAAATGAATCTTTTAATGTGTATAACGAAAAAACGAATTCCTGCGTTTTCCAGTGGAGGCGTACGTATCCAGAGTATCCGTGTATAGTGCGTACATGCTAACGTTTCTCTGTGCAAATAAATAAATTAAAGTAAGGATATACATCTTTAGTGACAATAATTCGAAGAAAACAATGAGAACGCTTAAACATACTTTTTCACATCGCCACTGCTTAGATGTTACAGCCAGTTTCTTTCGAACACGTTCGATGATAATGTTTCATTTGTTAATTTAGGCATATTTATTATCGGAGTTTCAAAAGAATGCAGCCGATATACATACATGAACTAATAATACAATTAAGTAGAATATAATTTAGAATCTGAGTGTCGTTAAATTAGCTCCTAAATTCTGTCGAGAATAATTTCCTTGTAATTATAAAATTACCAACTATGTGAAGTAGTAGGAAAAATAAGTACTGATAATATACAGGGTGTCCCATTTTAAACTCCCCAAATGTTTGAAACATTTTTTCATATATTTCATCTTTCCAGATATTTGCCTGGGAGATTAAAATGGGATACCCTGTATATTGTCAAAATAAATTATCGATTAACCATCGATTAAATAATTACAATTCCTAAACTAACATACATATATACATACGCTCGCATGTGTGTAAATGTATACAAAGAAGAAATGGAAGAGTACATTGCTCGAACGCTACTTATTAATACTTATATACGTTCCTTCAACGTCGTCCTTTTTATTGGACGAGCTTTTTTTACAATCCAGAATTTTTCATCAGGAAAAAATAATATAGCCTTAAATTATGTGTATCGAAAGTGATGTTTCATTTCATAATGCTTTACGCAGTGCACGCCTCATTACATTCTGTGCATGCAAAACTTATTACCTATCTTTACTTAACAACTGAATATTCGCGCGCGCGCGCGCGCGCGTGCGTGTGTGTATGTGTACAGGGTGTTTCCTTTACTCGCAAAATTGACTTCAGAAACATTAGGTGACATAAAAGGTTCGATTTTTGTTTACAGTGTGCAACCTAATATTGTCAACCAGCGATTCAGGCTTGCTTAATTTCTTAGGAACTCATAAATTTATAACATTTTATAACAATAAATTACCTTTATATTGCAGGTCGTTGAATTCGTCTCAACAAATACCATTCTACTATGAAAAAAAATATATGGTTCCATTTAAAAAAATGAATTCGACTTTGAAATTTCCACCCACCACTTGACCTGCAAAAAAATAATTTGCACCATATGTTGTTCCCCTTCGTACCAAACAATTTTTGTTTAAACATTTTTTTGATAGGATTAATCCCTTACGAGATATTTCAATTTAACAAGATAAAGGAAACACCTTATATATACATATATATAGTAAGTGTATTCAAACAATGTAACTTGTCTTAAATACAAAATGCTGCGGTAAAGTTCACGACATTATATTTTCCATCCTTTTTATAAAATAACAATAAAAAACAACAGCAATAATAATGTACGTAAGATTTGAAGTTAATTAAGAAAAAGGAAAAGAAAATTAATTTTAATTAAATTTTAAGAAAAAGAAGAAATTTCGATATTAACCCAGGGTACATTAGTTCCAGAAGAAGATAATATGTATACCACATTCATTATTTTGATACTCTGGCAGTGAGAAGATAACTGTCAATCTATCTTTTATTTTGTTATAACAATTTCAGATGAAATATACTTATTAAATAAGTCTGAATGATATTGTACTTGAAAAAAAATGTACCAGCTAATAACTCTTTCCTCTATAACCACATAGTCTTGTTAATGATTGCTTCAAATGTAATTCATTATGAACGAATATTAACAAACTTTCTAAAAATATTATACACGTTAGAACTGCACCACATCTACCAAAACGACTAAACTCAAGAAAATCAATGATTTCATCAATATATCGCAATTGCATGCGGTAAAAATTAAACTGCATAAATTGCCTTTTTGGCAAGCTATTTATGTACTTATAAGTATGAATACAAACAAACTTTTAATATTATTAATTTACTTCTATATTTATTTCGATGCCCTGTATATCGGCATTTTTTAAAATGAACTAGCAATATTCGTGAAATATTTGAAGTACAATCTTTTCTTTCTTTATTCTCTTTGATGACTTGTATTCTACGAGTACATGATAACTCAAGTGTAATGAACATGTAATAACTGCCAAGAGAGCAAGAGGAGATGTTATGAAAAATATATTTGGATATAAAGACGAAACTACTTTACAAGTTCCACTGAAAGCAGGGTATGACTTAAAAACGGAATACATGTAGAGTTGGATTAATAATATCACTGACAGGAAATAGCGCAAAAAATAAATGAAGGTACAACCGATTAGCGTAGATCTGGATTATCATTAACTTGCTTTTTAATACGCAATAATATTGTTGTGTACCACTGATCCAATCGTGAAATTGAATCATATTCCTTTACTGCTTCTGTAAAACCTTCGAGATTTTGCTCCTCGAGGTGTTCTATTAATGTCTGAAATAAACATTAAAACATATCTACTATATCAAAGTATAACACTGAATCTTTCTTAAATACGTTAAACATTTTTTTTTTAATTTAAAAGGACGTTGCTAAATTGTATGTTTCATACCTTTATCAGTTTGTACTCTCTAGAATCTTGGAATGCAGGATACTGCTCGTTGTAACGCTCGATCGCGTGTTGTGCATTTAATACATCGACGCATAAATGACATAATGCTGCTCGGAAAAAGTATTCCTTTGCACTGTATTTCAACAGAGGGCTTTCTAAAGATGCAGAAGCAACCTATGGAATAAAAAAGCAAATCTTTGCAATCCCTTATTCTCCAACACTAAATGAGAACACTATTGTTTCAATATACTCTACCTGTTCATATATTTGAATAGCCTTGTCATAGTTTTCAAGTTGTGCAGCATATTGAGATACTTTTAGGAGACATTTGTTAGCAGAGGAATTGCTTTCCTCTCCACGAAAATAATCAGCAGCTTGCTCATAATGAAGAACTGCTCTCTCAAGATCTATAGCTTCACTTTCATACATCTCAGCTATATTCTGGTGATATTTAGCTGCCATTGTGAACCGACCCATATCAGTGTAGATTTCAATTGCCTTTAACAAGCAACTAATAGCCTCTATGGATAGATCAATATGATTAATTTCTTCTTGACAATTGTTGCATAATAAACATTGAAAATTACTATCATTATACCATTTATATCATATTTCTTGTAACAATTAGAAGCATCTACATAACTACTAGCTGCATCATGGCGGCTACCAGCTTTGGCATGTAACTCTGCTGTTTTAATTTCGATGGACCTCTGTTAGTACACAAAAAGATGAGAAAAAAAATTTATTGAAAAAATGACGAATATTAATATCCATCAAAAGTATAAAAATAATAAAAAAATAAGAAGTAAAGAAGAGAATATGGTGAAATAACCGGTTAGAAACGTACGCTTCACACCTTCCTTATGTTGCACCTTAATTTAGTTTTGACACGCTATATCGCGAGTGGACGGTAACTGCTACATATACAGATATAGGCACACAAATTCATAGAAATGAATAATCCATCGAATGATAAAGAAAAAAGTACCACGAAAGAACAGATTGTGTTTAGGTATAAGAGAAAGCATCATTGTTCATCTGGCTGTTGAATCATGGTAAATAAATAATGTCAGCCGAGATTGGAGATTTAGTGACGGACGAGTTCAAGTAAATCGATGTGGTAAACGTACCCAAATAGCGAGCCAAAGAAGCCCTTTGACGCCGTTCGCTTCTTCTCAGCCTCCGCTAGCAATTGCGACGCTTTCGCCTCGTTGTCAGCCATGGTTTCCTTCAGTTTTGACACGTAACAATTTTAAAAACGTCTCAAAATTATGAACTTTAACAACTCACCACCCAGAAACCAACGTCACTAAAGTCTATGAAAGTGAATCAATTGTTATCGACAACAGTATTGCCAACCTTTGAATATGCGCGATTTAAGCTCCGTTCATAACGGCGTTTGAATATCTGTCGCTACTATTGGTTGCTTCTTTACATTATAAAGTGTTTTCAAAGAAATACTAATGAAGCGTTTTATCAGAGTTGATAGTTTTGATAAAAATGATTTAAAATAGGTAATTATTTAAGGAGGAAATAATTACGGTGACACAATGTTCGAATTGTCATTCCGGATTTTAAATATAGTTGGTAATAATGACGCCAAAGTTATCTTTATTCGAGGAACAAAGTGTTACAAAAGCAAACAAAAATTTGAATTCTTAAAAAAATAGATACAGTTTTAAATTAGAAACTAATTAGCGATGTCGGGTATACACAGACAAGCATTGAAATCATTACAACCCGATATGCAAAATGCACTAGTGATCGGCATAATTGTGCACAGCTTTAATATGAAAACGATTGATGCTACGCGAACGAGATGTATGAATTTTCCTTTTCGTTTAAGTTCAGTTAAAACTTTGTTAAAACTACATTGTCATGGAGAATATTCATAATTAATTTCAGTTAATAACGGTGAGCGCGCCGTATGGACGTTTACTTTACGCGATTCAGAAAAAGATTCCATAAATGTAACCGCATGGGGTAGCGCGCAATTTGTTAGAAAATTATCTTCCGATTTTCATATTGGGAGCGTAGGTTTGTGACATATGAAAGAATTTAAATATGAATTTGAATATTTAAATATTAGCATTATATTTGAATTTTTGAATTTGAATTTAAATTTGAATACAAATATTTTAAGTTTAAACTTAAATTTTGTAATGAAATCGACTTACAGTGGAGGTGATCAATCCAAAAGTGACGGAGCGTCGTCCGGAGGACAGAAATGAACTTTTTGTGCCTACGGTGTCCAGTCCGTGTAGGCTAACAGTGAATGAGGGCAACGCGCTGGTGCAAATTCATGATGCACCAACACGTGCAGCATATGAACTTTTGCTGATGCTCCCGATTAAGAACCTAACCGGGCTGCGAACCCTGAAAAGCATTTTTGAGAACCTGGAAGCGCTACGCGATCAATATCTTGACGTCTTGATCGTCGTTACCTTTGTACGTCTTAAGTCTAACAAACGCCGAAGGATGTTGATTTTTTGTACCATTAGTATTATCTATAAAATCAAAGAAGGAACTTTTCTTAAGTACCAAAACTATTTTAAACCAAAATAATTGAAACGGAATATATGGCAAAAAATTTGTATTGAAAAAAATCTTTTTAACACAATAATTTATGTTTATTAGATTAGTGATGTTCGTAACGTCATAACGCGTGACGGGAGAAGCATAAAGTTCCGTAGCTTTGAAGCATCAGATGGAACAACAGGCGAAGTGGTGTCCTTAGTACTCTGGGAAAACGAATGGATCGAAAGAGCAGCGCTCTGGGTGCCCAAAAGCACCGTAATTCTCCTCATAGATGCTCATATCGCTTACGATAATTTTAAAAAGAAAATTGCCTTATGTACAGGTTGTAATTTTATTAAATATTGGTGTGATAGAAAAAATCTCGACAAGATTTCAAATTCTATGCATTTGCAGGTAGAAAAACAATCATCACTGAGAATCCTAGCATACCACAAACTGCGACTGTAAGAAACGCGGTACAATATTACGAGAACGACATTATGTCCGGAAATTTCGTGACACCAAATCGTAAGGGCACTTGTTCACACCTCGTAAAGACAGTTTTTGGCACTTGCTATGTGACTAGAGCTATTTTAAGTTTTGTTAATTTCTTTCCACTCTACTTTAACAGCTAGTACGATTACAAGCGTGATGACCATACAAGACATATCGAACAAGCTGAACAAAAAACCGACACAGGGAGAAAGAATTCAATTTGCAATAATTTTAAAGGCATACGTGATGGATATAAATGTGGAAAGCACAAACCCTGGCGTACTATCCACTAGATGGTTGATTTATTTCCTTTTTTTTTTATAATAAATATCTACGATTAGTTTGCTACAATACGTTGTTTTTCCCAGTGCGTTATGTAAGAAAATCATTCTCAACGATCGAGATTCGTGCATGAACCTCGAATGTCCTTCAGGTAATGGCACTCGCGTGCCTATGAACGTAATGAGCCTTAATCTAAAAGTCAATCTGAAAGATAACACGGGATATCTTATTGGCTGTCGATTATTTGGAAAAACAGCTGAGTGCGTTCTTGGTTGTGCGGCTAATGAATTTCAGGTTATTAAAAACCATTTTAGAGCTTTAGATCAGTCTATAGTAACCAGATTTCAATACGAATATTTCTTAAATGAATTCCTTTAGGCTATGATACCTTCTCAACGCGCTGAATTAAAATGGAAATATGTGACGAAAAGGTGCAACATCCGGTTGCACGTACTTGGTCCAACATCGACTTTTTCAAACGCTATATACAATATTTTATCGATTTGTGAAATCGAAGAGGATGACGACGAGCATACTCAACCGATTGATGAACACTTTGAATCGAATGACTATTAAACACTTTATTCGTCAATAGATTACTGCCGCTAAATTAGATACAATATTTTGGAATAATTGATACAATGTTTATTTATAATTTTATTGTTACGAAAACATTACATAATTTTAAAGATTATACGATTAAAGAATTTCCAGGAAGAATACATATATTTAATCCATCATCCGTTTAGATTTAAATCAGCTGATTGTTACCTTCTCATTGGCCGCATTTAAACGGCAACGAATCGTAAAGCAAGTGTTCGATGAACACAGTAAAATATCACCGTTAATATTTGTTTTGTATAGATCCATTAAATATATTTTTATAATTGACATTTATATAATTGTTTATAATTGTAGTAACGTGATAAATAACAAAATGGAAATAGAAAAATCAACGAAGGAATGTATCGAGGTTATAAGGGAAAGATTGAGGAAACTTGTTCACACGGTAAGAAAGGAGAATCGTGTGAAAACGTTAAACAAAAATCGCATTGGACTTGAAAGTATCGTAACAAATTCGTCTTCTATGACAGAATTTATCGTTGAAAAGGCAAAAGCACTTAAAAAGAAGGCATTATCAATCGAAGTGTACAGACAACTTCAAAATGCTCTCATTCAGGTTATCATTTTAATATAAGTTTCATATATTATATTATGATCATTAAATAAATTAAACTTGTAATGTTTTTTTTTTAATATTTTTATAGAGTGAGGAAAATGTCACTTATTTCTTAAAAGTAGACAGTATATTATTTGCACTAGTACGTGACTTTTCTGGTAATGATCAAGCTTTACAGTTGTGTGCTATCAGTTGTGCTTGTAATATAGCACTTGGAAATACTAAAGCATGTACTTCATTAGCCAAAAGTATTGGCCCATATCTTGTCACAGAATTAAATACTCTAAATTATCCTTTATTGGTAAGTCATTAAAAAGATATAATATAATTATTTATAACAGTGAAGAAAACACTCCTTCTTCATTAGGAAGTTTGTATATGGACAATGGGAAATTTAGTTGCTGGCAGCAATAAAGCTTTTGAAATTCTTCATGCTCAAGACTGTCTGAAATATATCATATCACTAATGCACAACTGTGATAATGTAATAATGCCTTCAGTGACTTACACAGCTGTACAGTATGTGCATGTTGGTTTCAAGCACATTCTGTAACTATTCTTCTATATTATTATTCCTGAAGTATATTTCAAGATATATCATTGATTGCAAAAATGTTTTTAGGGAGGATGAAATGGTTGAACTTGCTAAAGCTACTGCAAAGAGAAACCTTTCATTTGAAAATCCATATTTTATTTGGTTGCTAGCTTTATTATCTTCCCAAATATCTTGCAACACATACTTTTATAATTTAGTTCCTTTTATAGTAGATTATTTATACCAAAATACTGCAAACACAGCTGTAATAGAGGCAAGTAACACAATCAATGCTAATTTATGTTTTCTTTAAAACTTTCTTTTATTCCAGATCACAGCATGTATAAGAGTATTGGCTAATACCATGCAGGAAATGTCTGGTCAGTTGGCAAAGTTTCTACTGGAAAACCCAAAATATACACAATCAGATTTAGAGATGCTATTAAACAGACTATTATCATGTCAATATTTACATGTTAGAAAAGAAACATTGTGGTTAATAGGTAATAGCAAACACTTTATTTTTAAAACTCAAAGTTAACGTTATTATAAATATAAAAGAAATAAATACTCTTTACAGGTAATCTATATAATCACAATTCTGCCGACGTTAAAAGTATTATACAGCACAGTATACCTCGGCTATCATTCTTGAAACAAGCAATTTTGTCCACAACTCAGCAGAGTATATCGGCAAATACACATCTAATCAGTTGAACAGGATTATTCCATTAGCTTTATAACATGGTATATACATATGAATAAAATTGATAACAATTATAAATAATAAATTCTCCATCCCAGTTTCATATTCTACAATATTGGCAGTATAAAAAGTATTAAAATTACGAGGATATTTTACAATCGATGAATTGATTCCTTAATAATAAATTTTGACAGGAATAAACTGCCGTTCTAATCCTATGGAAGTATGTCCATCCTGTGGTACATCCTCTATACAAGGTACTTTCATCACATTGAAGTACACCTGACCCATGATCTTCGCTGTGGAATGCATTGTGGATTTCAGACAATTATACAGTGCCTCGTCACACACGCAGTGTGATCTACAAAGGTAAGAAAAATATTGTAACTGCTCACAAATGACGTTTCCGATATGAATACACTGTTGTGATATTTTCATACTTAGTGTATATAGAATAGTTGGTGAGATTGTATCGCGTTTGTCGTGCTCGAACTTTAACGGGACAAAGATCATGGCTACGACAACATCTGAAACAAATAAAAGATATTAGTAGTATCACTATTTCATTAAACAAATAAATTAAATATTCCAGTGATTACAGCAGTCACGATATGCGTACTACCTATCGATTTCAGCTTCCTGGCCCAAATCATGATAGTTTTCTGCAATGTCTCCTGTGCCACACCATTTTGTACCTGCAACAATATTTTATATCACAGTTGATGTAAGTTACAATGCACAAAAGGAATAAGTAATAGCCATAGAAAATCACCTGGCAAGATTCCATTAAAAAGAGACAGCACATTTTTGCTAGCGCTTGACTTTGAGGTAGATGTTGAATCCTGCTGTATCAAGTCCAATAATTCACACTTTTCCATGAGCTTAATCATCTCTTCGAAGGATACTAGCTGAGGCATCGTGGTCGACGAAAGATTTCTCAAGACTTCCTTCGCCTCTGCTTCCTCGCTGAAATTTCACTAATACAATATTTTATTCAATTTCACACTCAACATCAATCTAAAACTAACACTCACTATACTTCTATCAGGTTGCAATTGTGCAGTTCATTGTTGTTCCCAAGATCAACCACTGCCACGGTCTGATCGTAGTAGTAAACCGCTCTGATCTCGTCCGTGTCGAACGGATTTGTCTTGAGAGCGACACCATTCAATCCTTTGAAGGTATTTTTAAAGAAGGTTGGCTGTTGATGACTGCTGGAGCTGATCGCCACAATCAAGATTATCCAACCGATGAAGCTCATGTCTGTCCTTCAAGTCGTGCTACACTAAGAACACCGTGCTGTTCGCATGATCGTTTTAATACCACATTCTCGTGGCGGAAATCATTAGATCATCGATACGACGAGTAGAGGAAACAGAAATTGAACCACCATGGGGAAAACACGCGTTGCATCGTCGCTTATGAATAGGAATAATCCCCGTGGCCTTGAATAGATGCTCAAATCGTAAAGCGTTTTCACTGTTCTAACTTATTCAACTAATGCAAAAAACTCAATTCTCTAAGGATTTTCCCCTCTTTAATCTCAGCTACTAGGAAACTCTCGATTATTATGGCTAAAACGAAAGTCCCAACAACAAGGAAATACTGTTAACAACTTCCGCGAAATACATTGTGTCATTTGAAATTTTGGATGAAAAGGAAAATAAGGAAAATCGTCTAAAGCCACAAAAGTCTTGTCAAGAGGAACTGTACAATGAAACATGACTACTACAATCGTCAATTACATAACTTCCATATGAACTTGTGCTCATAACGAGATCCTTATACATTTATATACAAAGGACCTATTTTATATTACAACAATATATTGCGTATCTAGCTCACTTTACAGGATTCATTTTGTATCTGAATTTAGTGTTTAAAATCGAAAGGTGATCGTACCTGACCGGTCTTTTCCATCCTCGTCATTCTTCTACACGCATGATCGCCATGCTCTTGTGAAAACCGACTGAACGTACCGAATAATGTAATTGTTTCGAACGTACCGAATTGTTCAAGCGTAAAGGCTTCTAATGTTTCTGTGAAAGATATGGCTTGCACATGTATAATGTAGGCGATGCCGCCAAGAAGTTGAATGTGATCGCCGGTAACGCCGATCGAATCAGCATGTGTGTATAAATGACGAGAAGATCCCCGTAAGGAGTGGCCCTGAACGATGGTGGTGGGACGAGCGTGTAATACCCGAGGCGAACACCATACTCTCCCCACTGCGACATATCGATCTATCACATGTATACACCTGCTACTTGATCCCCTCCATTGTCGTTCCTTTATCAACACTGGTCGTCACAGAGGAATTGGCGACAAGCTACTGGGGGGGACCCAGATTCGGGAAGACTAGGACGAAGAAAGTGGGACAAAGAATAGAGGATCACATGGCTAGTACACCTGCCTAATTCACGCGGGAAATATTTTTTGTTGTAAGAATTTTCAAAAACACCGCCGTTAGAAAGCCATTTGTGTAATGGATTTATTATCTGGAATTTGAACTAGTTCATAAGTAGTTATATGCACTGGTGATTATGAAAGTGGTCTGAATCGTATGTTTTGCACTTCGACGCTTGTTACAGTGTCGAAAGAATTTCTTAGCTAGGCTCCTGACTTAGACCATTTTCATAATTACCCTGATCACAGAGAAATTAGAAACTCGTTAAAAAAATATAGAAAAGTAATTTGTACGTTCATTACAAGAATTTAACGCGACGTGGAAACTATAAGTGAATGGTACGTAGCATATACGTGTAATAAGTATCGATAAACGCTGGCAATTTGTAAGAGTGTAAGGTCACATTATCGATGCACGTGTATATCGTATTTTTTGTGCGTTAAGACTGGCCCGACTTCAAGGGTTGTTGTTCATGAGAGGACGCGTTCGTCTTAGAGGCTGCGTTCACCGGGTACTGGTTTCCAATCCGGGTTGTACTCAGCGTGATGCTAATAGGCGTAGCATTCGAAAGTTGCTGTCGAACCGGACATTGCCGGTAGCCTGGAATTAGGAATACGTTAAATAAAATACATTAAATAGAATTATGATTGGCAGTTATGCAAATGAACTTTTTAACCCCATGATGATCTGCCTATCTTGTATAGATGTTTTTCATGTATTAATGATTTTGAATGCGTCCAATACAGAGTCGACCGTTTGAGAAGGAATTTACAGACTTTCTCACTTGAATGAGCTTCGAAAATTTTATTACACTCAAAAAAACAATAGACTTATGTTGTGTTAAGTATAATGCAATCTTTGTCTAGAACAATTTTTCTAAGTTCAGTGGGATACCCTGTATAATTCAAATTAATAAACAACCATATACATGTCCCTGTATTGCCTTGTTACTGCGCAGTACTTAACGAAATACGATAATCCTCAATATTTACTGAGTGAGCCAACAAGAGAGTACATGTACCAGCGTGATGGGGCCCCGAACAATGACAGCAGATGGGATTGTTCCGGGGCCTGGGGCAGAACTCGACGCTATGTGGCTCTCCACAACGAACGCAGCGCGGCAGGTGTCTGCAATTGGCGGCCATGTGCCAGAAACCCTGGCATCGATAACACTGTAACACTCCATCGCTCGTTTGAAAGTTGGACATCTCGAGGAAGTTGTTCACCATTACTGGCCCCGGCTGCGGCGGCCCACCGGTGGTACTTCCGGTTCCT